TCTTAATTCCAATATGGAAGGTGAGGGGACTGTACCATCGCGTGGTTTTTATGCATAAGTGCCAAACTTTAGTCCACGCCTTAATATGTACTCACATTACCCGTAACAGGATATGTGACAGCCTCTTGGCAGAATATTAGTTACCCCCACGACTGAATTCCAGCGTAGGCACCTGCTTAATCAAGATCCTGCTGCATACATATTCACGTTGGGAACTTTTGAAGTTGAAACTCGCATACCCGTAGAAGCAGACCACTTTCTGCCCTGACCGGCAGAGTGCAACAGTTGTAAAAGACGATATTCATCCAGATTATTCAATTTAACGTCTATTAGGTATATATTATTTGTCCTCAGAAATCTAAGGATGTAGTCACAGACGCGGACATAAGCATTATCCGCAACAAACAGATAGGATGGCGGCCATCTCGTCCCTCATTGGTGTAGCTTCCCCCTGCTGGCCAAGCCTTCTTGATAAGAATAGTCTCGGCAGTGACCATCGACTAATACATATTGGTCTTGGCGAAAAATAACGAATTGGCTGCTTAATGGGGACGTGGATGCTGGCGCTAATAACGAGAGTGCAAACAACCGCTCGTCAAGTGTATATAAAAGGGCCAACTGTTCTCGTTTCAGGATCACAATGCTCTCGACCACATCAAGCTCCAGCTCCTTAGCACAGAGTGAACCAATCTTTCAATCTCAAGCATATTCATCATGAAGTTCGTCCCCTTTGTTGCCCTTGCCTCTATGGCTCTGGCTGCTCCCTCCTCGGAGAAGCGTGATGACAGCCCCCTTGATATCAAGATTGAGATGGTTGGCAACTCTGAAGTCAAGGCCACCATTGTCAACACCGGCAGCAGCAGCCTCAAGGTTCTCAAGACTGGTTCGATCCTTGACTCTGCCCCTGTTGAGAAGGCTAGGGTTTTCAAGGACTGTAAGTGGCATCTTGGTTCTCTGCAGAGCACTCCTGTATCATAGCATGTATACGCTATGTTCATACCGCTCTGCTTCGTTGAAAGACGCTGGTAACTAACTACTCTCATAGCAAATGCTTTGGAGTTCGAGGGTGCTCGCCTTCTCATTGATACTGAGCATCTCAACGATGAAGCCTTCCAAAAGATTGCTGCCGGAGAGACCATCGAGGTGACCTTTGACGTTGCCGAGGTCCACGACCTTTCTGCCGGAGGAGACTTTGACATCTCTGTCGTCGGCGGTCTTTCCTACGCCGAAGAGGGCTCTAACAAGCTCTCTGGTGCCGTCCCCTTTGTCACTAGCTCCGTCACGGCCCAAGTTGACGGCCCCAAGGCCAATGCTGTCCGCATTGCCTCTCAGTCCAAGCGTACCGCAGTCCAGAGCGACTGCACCGGCACTCGTCTGACCGCTGTTCGCAACGCCCTCTCCAACTGCCGCAGTCTTGCCTCTGCCGCCTCTACCGCCGCCTCATCAGGAGCTGCTGCCAAGATGACTGAGTTCTTCAAGTCCAGCACATCAGCCACCCGAAGCACCGTCGCCGGTGTCTTCTCCCGTACCGCCTCCGAGTGCGGCTCTACCACTAGTGGTAACTCTAGGACCTATTGCTCTGACCCATACCCTGCCTGTAGCAATGGTGTCATTGCATACACCGTTCCTGCTTCTAGCTACATGGCTTACTGCAACTACTTCTTCACCATGCCTGCTACCTCGTCTGGGTGCTATACCCAGACCCAGGCTAACACCTTTGTCCATGAGGTTACTCATCTCAGCCAGATCAAGGGTACCTCTGACTACGGTGGTTATGGTACGTAAACTTCATATAATCTACTTGTATGAATATCTACTTCTGACACTCTAGCAGGTTACAACTTTGTCCGCGGCCTCACTGCTGCCCAGAACCTTAACCATGCTGACACGTACACTCTCTTCGCCCAGAGTTTGTATGCCGGCTGCTAGAGAGGCCGTTGCGATAATTGTGAATGAAGATGGTATATGAATCGAATAGCACAATATGATCAGATTTCATAGGCAATATAAACAGATTTTACGTATCATACAAATAAATTCACACAATATGAGCAGATATTACACCTATGTCAATGAGTTCCATACAATGTTTATTGAACGCTTTCAATATTAACTCAGAAATTGATATCTCTGAGAACGAGCCGTAGTAGCAGCTGCAAACTCTCTGTAGCCAGGAGTGGCATGTCTAATAGCATGTTGGGAAGTAGAATATTGGTTGGCGGATGATTCCCCGCCTAAACAGTGAGTCACAGGCTTTTGTTTGTTTGTCCTTTGATACACTGTCACACTGATTACGCCATGATATCACTGGGTTCTTGATTAAATAGCACATCGGCGTCATCCACTCCTGTTTGTCTGGATTTACTTACATCAGGTGCACATCAAACAGCAGACCTAGCTCGCCAGTCTGTGACTCAGTCAATAGGATCTGAGTATAAATACCCTCTTATAGGATGGAATGAACTCATTCTTCTTCTTCATCTTACAAACCGCTTCTCGTCATTGAAATTTTCCGTTGAAGTACTCACTACCCAGACTCCAATCTCTACCACTAAGGTGAATTTTCTTAACACTCTCCCTCTCCTTAGGTCCTTTTCAAAGGATTATTCTAACGTTGAGATATTGGGTTGGAAGACCTTTTAAAATCTCTCAACAGACCATCGGCGCCTTCAAGATGGAGAAAGCCCAGCAAGAAGCCAAAAAGAAGTGGGAGGAAAACGAGGAGGACCTTGAGGCTCTTGAAAAAGAGATACTGGGTAAAAGCCCCTCTAAGGGTGAGGAACAGGCTCAGGGGGGCCTCACACAAGCGCAGAAAGAGGAAATTGATGAGGCCGAACGCGACTTTTTCAATCCTGAGCGCACAAAAAAGCGTGGGAAATAGAACATTCTCTGAACTCTATCGTTGGACAAAGTAGCGTGGAGGTCTCTGATAATGAGCCATGTAATAGCTGCATAGTCTCTATAACCAGAACACGCTTGTCTAACAGCATGTTGACAACTACCACAAGCTTTTCGACGTAATCAGTAACGGTTACATGGAATGAAAACAACTAGGGCGATAAGTAAAATGTAATGAGTTATAGTTATTTGTGGCTAGTGATGTGAAAAATCATTTGGAATTCTTTTCATCCCAGAGTGATGCATCAGCTAGACAAAGAATTCATCATCCAATCTAGATCTGTTGGAGAAGTGCCAGCATAATTATGGTAGACAGATAACTCCCCATCTAAACGGCGGGTCAAAGCCTTTGTTTTGTCACTCCTTCAGTACACCTTGACATTGATTATGCCACAAGGTGTCTGATTTCATGACTGAATCGTACACCCATGCCTGTAATTCACTTCCCTTTGTCTAGATTTCAATCACCTCAGGTGCACAACAACGAACAGGCCGAGCCCAGTAGCCTATGAATCAGCTGAGAAAGTTTTAATATAAATACCCTCTCGTAGGGTGCAGTGAACACCTTCTTCTTCTCCATCTTATAGACCGCTCTTTGCAGTTGAAATATCACGGTTACAGCAACTACGAATACTTCAATTTCCACCACAAAGGTGAGTTTCCTCAACACTCCTCTCCCGCTCCCTCCCTTTCCGAGATTCGCTCTGACATTGAATTAACTCGCTTTGGAAGAACTTTCGAAATTTCTCAATAAACCAACAACACCTTCAAGATGGACCGCGCCGAGCTAGAAGCCAAACAGAAGAGTTTGACTGATGAGTCCAAGAAAGTCCAGCAGGCACTTGACACTCTTAAAGATAGCATGGGTAAAAGCCCCTCTATGAGTGATGTGAAGGCTCACGAGGCCCTCACACAAGCACGAAAAGATACGCAAAAGGAACTCATCCAGGTCGAGCGCGAGCTGTCTGATCTTAAGGCAAAGGGAGTAAGTGACGAATAAAATGTTATCTTAACTGTATGGTGTTGGGAATGAAAAAGGTAGCACAAGGCGGTCGTATGCTGTCATGAACTTACATGTGGGAACTGGACAGTCGGACAGTAGTGGTTGATGCTTAGAGCACTTCTACCTTGTCCCAACTCTGATAAGATGATCTATTACAATTCTTAGTGGCGATGCTATCTGAGTTATAAACATTACTGCGCAACTCATGCGTGAGGTACTTGAATTCAGTTCTATCGATACTATGAGAGTGAAAAGAGATGCCAGGGCTGTAAACCTGCAACATTCCCTTTGAATTGAGTCTCATTGAAAAATTAAGAATTTAAAAGTCCCGACAGGCTCAGTCATCATCATTCCCTCCAGACGTTTTTAATGCTCTGTACGCGGAGCGTATGATTTCCGTATGCTAGAGTACCTACCTAGCCGAAGGTTTTCAAGCCTCGGCGGTTTCGTGGGTCCTTGAGAGCTGCCATTACCTCTAGACCTTCGTTCAAAGAATCAATCTATGCTCGGGAATCGGCAAAGAAGGAAATGCATGGTCCAAACGTAGGGACAAATATCGCTGATCGCCCCATTCTTGTAACGCTTCTCCTTGGTCAGCTCGCTCTTTGTAACTAGGGCCTGTCTGTGCATGAATCAAAGATGGCTACTGTTGTGATAATCAGCGGCAGATATTGAGCGGCACAGCGCTGTTGCATTCCAGTCTGTAACGGTCGATCAATGTTTTGACAGCTCCAAACACACGCCTGCCTAATGAAGCAAATGATTATCCATTGCCCCTGAGCTACTGCAGTAATTGCAGCCGTCCTGCGCAGCCAGGCAAGCGGGGTTGGGTATTGTGCGCAACAAATACGAGTGGTGTGAGTACAGCATGACACACAGGGCTGTCTCGTATTTGCCTCCTCAACAGCTGGAACGAGGTAAGCATTGTAGATAACGATCTGCGATGCGAAACAGCCATTAATACCGGTAGGGCTGGGCTAGAGGGGCTATATCTTCCTTAAATCCCTTCCCTTTATCGAATGATTTGCCCCTTCATCCCTAGTAGTTGCACCACAGTCGAGCAGCAAGAAAAGAACAATATCTTCAACGATCCAATACAATGCGTTTCTCCCATAATGTCGCTTTGGTTGCCGCCACCCTGATGGGGAGTGCCGCCACTGCCGACGAGTGCCCTACTTTGCCCATCGAAGGACCTTTTGCCCTCACTATCGTTATGAAGGACAGCACAGAGACGTATGCAACTAATATCGCGTACGCGTCTCGTGGCGTTCCAGATCTGAATCCCGCCACAACTTCCAATCAAACGTTCACTTGGAATGTGTGAGTTATCTCATGACTTCTCCCGAGAAGATGAACCGAATCTTCGCTTTCAGCCAGCAGAACAATCTCGAGACGGCGGAGTCGAATACTGACGTTGAGTAGAGATGAAAGTCGGGTTATCATGGGCGGCAGGTCCTTTTATAAGTCTGGCAAAATCAGTAAAGGGTCCGTATTCTTCTTCTGGTCCGAGGGTTCTATGCCAGACGACGGAGAGTGGCTCCTTGAGCAAACCGTATCTGACTGCGCTGTATACCTCGTCAAAGAGGGCAGCACCAAGGAAGAGGGCGTATTTCAATGGCAGAGCACTCCACCGCAGAGCTCGCTCTCTCCAATCTCATGGTTGGGCTCCGTGGCGGAGGCAAACGCCGCTATTCGTGTGGATGTTACCAAGTCTTGAGGGTATTCCGAGAGCTATATATTCTATAATGGATATTTATCTACTATAGACTGCGAGGATTTCGAGTCGGGCTACGCAATCAATAGAACCAAGTGGTTTTAGAATGTATGTTCTTTATTCCAGGTTTCCATTCAGGAATGAATTTAGATTTCTTCAAGAGAACTTCAACATCTCATATTCCAAGCTGTTGCTCAACTCGCCATTCATGATCCCGTGTAGATACGCATCCGAAACCAAAGTCCAAGTACTATCATTTCCCGGACGAATTACCACTGGCACCTTGCCTCCTTTCAACAAGGCAATATGGTCATGCTCCTCCACATGGCCCATAGCCAATCCGACATATCCATTCTCCGTGCGAATGACTGTCCGGTTCACTCCTGACATTCTCGACTGCTCTCTCTCCTTGCGCATCGTGAATGACATCCTCACGGCCTTATACGTTAACTTGCCCATCCAGTGAGCGCCCGCCGCGATCTTGTACAGTGTTCCCGACTGGCTCTCCTCTATTTTCGTCCACCCATCACCTGAATACCTGGTCAGCTCGGCGGCGTCTTGGAGAGGCTTGTACCACTTTTCCCATGCTTCTCTTGTCAGCTGCTCGGTTCCATTTTGATAACAACCGGCATGGAGGGTTCTCCAGTACACTTCCCTTGGTGATTCCCCTGTAAAGTATGGTTTTCCGTCCGGTATCCCGCACATTTCCTCCCATTTGATCAGCACGCCTGAGCCTTCTTTCATAAGTGAAGCGATCTCGAGGTTGGCGTGGCCAGGCTGGTGTTCATAATATCCCTTCTCAAGAACCCCGCCAGTTTCAACGATTCGGTCAAAGATACATCCGGAAAGGGAGAGAATCTTGAGATTCTCGGAAACGTCGACGACAGGGAAGCTGTTACCGCTGGCTGAGGACCAAGAGGCAGGGCAGCCCTGATGGTTAAACAAGCCACCCAGGATGAAACGAGGCAGCAGCGGCTGAGAACGCTCACGGTACGTCCAATCGGGGACCCATGAAGGCAATGGGGATCCTTCCTGACCGCAACCCGCAAAGCTAAGAACATCGAGGCAGCCCTCAGAAAGAATGCAGTCAAGGGCCGCCCTGGTGAAGACCTCGACGACATTCATGTCATAGTTGGGTTGCAGGCTCACCCTCGCCAGATCCGACTCGCTAAATAGACTGTACACCCCAAACACCTTGTCTCGCGGGTCCGTGGCAAGAAAGATGCGGAAGCTGGTGAACATGTCTAGAGGGCGCAACGTCTGGCCATGTACCATATCCGTCCGAGCCTTCTCGATGCTTCTCAGCGAGCTGTACATCTCAGGCGCCGTGTTTGAAAAGTAATCCAAATCTATGGCATAGCTCACTGCACGATAAAAGTCGTCCCACGACGCCGAGTGCTGCCCACACAGAACCACGGCGTGAGTCGCCAGCGCAACCTCCTGGATGATCCACGTCCGTAGAAACCACGGACGCTGTAGCATCAGGATCAGGCTCTTGATGATGGCATTCCACCTCTTATCTTCCAAGTCCCCGTTCGTCGTCCAGTCATTGCTCAGCACAAATCTCACCCAGTCTCTGGTCCCGTGCCTGATGGGCAGCTGGGTGCGCTTGAGGTTCTTCTGCGCCGCCTTGAGAAGGAGCGGGATCGCCCACAGGTCCTTGCCATCTACCTCGATGGGGCCGCCCAGCCAGACGTCCACCGCGCTGGCTCGTCGGTAGATGTCCTGCATCAGCAGCACCTGGGCGCTGCGCTCGGCCGTGTCGCCCTGGTTGATGCATATTGCGTCTGCCCAGACGATGCGTGGCTGGATTGGCAGCCGCAGCCGGACGAGGGCGGAATGCAGACTTTTGGTGACGTTGAAGGGAATGCCATCGCAGGTAATCGGCGTCGTGTCCTTGGGGTCGCCCCAGCAGTAGCTGAGAGCCTCGTATTTGGGCGGCTGGCGAACATCAGCGTGGTCTAGACCACACGAGACCGGGTCGTCAGGGGATCCCGGGTGGATTGTTAATAGCCGGATTGTGTTGGGCGGCAGAGGGGAATAGGGGTATGATGCCATGGCTTCTCAAGGCGCCGCATTATCTGTAGCCGCTTGGATTCAAGTGTGTTCCATTCTGAATTTACAACAGGGTGGTTATTGATGAGAGTCACTCAGCAGTGACCATAATGGGAGAGGGGTCACGAGCTGGTGTGTCGCTGTGTAGCGTTGGGGCTGAGCTGCATGAAGATGAGCTAGAAGTAAACACCCAATCAGGACGAGTCTGACCAACAGAACTATTGATCCTTTGCTTCGCCACAGGAAAGATGCTCAGCTCGCAAGGTCAGCCGCAGGCTGGCAGGGCATAGACTGCCTTTGAGAGTGTTTATAGCTATAATTTCAGTAAAAGCTGCCAATAATTGGAGCTCCCAACGAAGGGTTCGTCATATGTAGATAGCGCTTGAGTCTTACAACGCGGAATGGGGCAGCAATCACAATAATCTTATGAGATACCAAAGTCAGTCGACTCCTAAAATATCTTTAGGCTCCTGTTCTTCAAACGGCAGCCTTCTCCCTCTCTCTAACTCCTACAGATTAGTTGAGCAGTCCACGTAGCATTTGAAACGATGCAAGAACGATCAAGAACGGCTAACGAAAGAGGATGAGGCTGACTGTGTTGACACTCCTCACTTGGAGGTGCGTTATTTTCCAGAAGCTCTGCCTACTGTTGGCTGTAAAATAAATGCCTAGTTTCCTTGGAATTGACTACCCGGATAAGTGAGTTTAGATTTCAGCAACTGATACGGAGTTGTATAGGTGTTCCCATCTGGCCAACACACCTCTGATGAGAAGAACAGGTGGGCCTAGCCAATAAATCTTGAGTTTGAATACAAGATCTCCAGCTTCGGTATTGTCTAGCTGGACATTTTTGATCGTGGTATTAACCTTTGCTGTCGAAAATGCCATGTTCAGTGTTCCGAGCATCCAGACCATTTCCGCATAGCTACCCCAGAGTCTTGATCATTGGTATCTTTTCAATCGTATCTCCCACCAAAATAAATTACATCATTTCATCGCAGTAGATTTGTTTCTTTACTTATTTTCTCGTTTGGGAGTCTAGATGAACAAGTTTGTGTATGGATTTGAGAATTGATAAAATTGGAAAGGCTGGCACTTGTCGAGGACACATTAATTGAGCGATTCACTAAGTCTGTGTTACTCAAGTAAAGGGTTGTATTCATTGCAAATTGATGTACTGGCTAATACATTTTACGGTGCCCGCAGCCGCATGTCGCAAGCTGTAATATTTGACCTGCGATATTTTACTCTGTTGTCTTGAAGACCCGTCATTCATCACTTTGGATACAATTGCTCATGGCTGTGGTGTGGAAATGAGGCTGCGACATCCTTAGGATTCGCGCAAAATCAGCGCTTCTTCATGCTTAAATGGGGGCTTAGTTAGCATGCAATTCAGGAAGAGTAAAAATAAATATTGACTTTGAGTTAGAGATAAAATTTAGCACGAAACTTGTGCGCATTTAGAAAGTTTCTAAGTATAATAATTAGCTCAGGTGGTAGAATTAGGGGAGGCTAGCGATTGCTTTAGAGCTGTTGTAGGGGCGCTCCAGTGATCAGTCCAGTACAAATATAGCGCTTGCAATTGTGCCACAAAAATCACATGATCTGGCTCAGAAAATGATCAATTATTGATGCTTGGACATTGAAGAATTGAAATGGGGCATGCTGACGCGTAAGGGAGTCGTGTTCTGGCCTAGAATATCATATATGTAGCCCTGACAGTGTTCGTTGATGATTGCTCACTGCCAATTACCTGCTTCACGCTATGGGCAGACGGATTGCGGAATGTGCCGTTCAACAGGCTCACTCACACAGTAGTCGACTGGATTACTGATGCTGAGTTCACACCAGAGAACGGACACGAGGCGGCCCAGGCACAGGCACCGTATACGAGGGGCGAAGGGGTGTGTGAGCGTGCCGTCCCATCGCTTTGCTGGTCATGGCGATCCATCAGGCCGGATTCAGCCCAAGCCCCGACACTACAGCAGGCACTAGCGATTTCATTCTCAGGTCTCGCCCCTTGGGGTTGGGCCCAGTCCTGTTCCTGGGGATGTGTTTTTCTCCTGTGTGCATGATTCAGGGTCTAGCTACAGGAAGCGAGTGATGATGTGGGCGGGCACCTGATGTTGACCGAAGGTCTGGATGACTGGCTCTCTTCCTCGTTTCCTTCGTGATCGATTTCAGTCAACCCCCTGCTCTTCAGCTCTTCTCTCAGCATTGAGCAGAGCATTTCAGCTCCCCGGATAACGGCAATCTCTTGGCAGATCACCTGCAGGAGGGAAAAAGCAAGCATCTCAGCCCGAGGCGCTCATAGCAGATTTCTCCAGGTGAGGGTTTGCGCTAAATGTGCACCGACCCAGCCCCTATCCATTGGTTTCGATCAAGATGATCTCGCTCTAGCAGCACCTTGGACTGCAGGGCTGATCACAGAGGCCGGAGGGAAAGGGAATGGATGTCTCCATGCATGCGCGTGCCAAGTGCTGTCACGGGATAGGGCCACCCACCGTAATTGTAGGTCTAAATATACCGTACTCCAGCATCAATTGAACTTCTCGTGACGCAAGCGAACCCTTCGGCGGCGAGTCTTTCAGCGTGAAGTTTTTCTAAGCAGGGGAATTTCCAATTCGTTTGATTCCTTCTCTTACAAGATAAGATATGTGTGAAACATTGAAGCCACCTTGAATACTTGACCTTCCCTAAGGTAGGGAGAATCAAAGACATGGCTTGCGCATGACACAGACATCAAGGATGAAGGGCTGGCTGTTTCCCTGGAGTTCACCATTCCAGTACGATGTAAAGTCCAGCAAAGAATTCCACAGATTGAACCCTGACGCCGATTGTACTCACATTGTGTGCGTTGGCTACGAAGTTCAAGTGCGACCAACCCAGCCCTTGGAGGGAGCATCATTCTTGGAGAGGGAGGTGGCCTAATATTATAGCGTGACCAT